GTTTACTGATTAGTATTGAGACTGTAGTTTATCACAGGATTGAGCTTGGAGCGGTGGCTACTTTTGTTAATAGTTAGGGTACTTGAATGCATTTCATCTTCAGTTTTCCCTGTCTATTTTCACATTTGTCTTTGTCTGCTGTTGCTGTTTGTCTGTCAGAAAACTTTAGATAACTAAATCGCAACTAATTCTTCTCACTGATGGATTATCAAAATTTTAAACCCTGGATTAATAAAAGTTTACAGCAGTACAAAGGGGTTGCTGCCAAATACAACACTGTCACAGTTCTAGCAGCCAGCTTCTTTTTCTGCAAAAAAATGGTTATTAAGTATTCTAGGCATGGGGCATTATGAGGAATATTAATATAGGAATTGAGGACAGGAAGCAGTTAAGCTTGTAATGTCTATGGGGCAACCTCAAAAAGTCCTGTTCAACAATTTTAGGTGGATAAAGTCATCAGGTTAGAAAACCATGCCTAGTTGTGAATGTGTACCCCAAGATAAGCCAGCTCTGGGACTGTCTGTGCAAGACTACCACTTCCCTCCCCAGTGCTTAACAAGAATGCTCATATAGCCCCACTGCCTCATTTAGCACAGATGCAGACGTCATGAAATGGTTGCAATGTGCAGGCACATTTGACAGTTCTCTGATATCTATGTTCAGATTAAAAATTAGGGTAAGCAATTGTCTCCTGGCAACTAAGGGCATATGATTGGACATCTGCAAATTACCTTGGTGATCTTGTTTCTTAATGTTTAAGATAATGCTGGTTTTATGGCGCCACATACAGTGTAACGTGCATGCAGTTAAATTAGGTTATGATATTTTTATTACACCTGAGATATACAGTGCTGAATAAAGAGTAGGCTGTAGTTATTAGGCATCATTCACACTAAGCGACACTTACCTCGAGTGGATCCGTGCAGCCTGGATAGCGCGACGGTTCGGGCGACGTACCGGCGACGATCGCGCGACCTTCACCGTCGGGCTGCATGCAAAAATAGAAGAATCGCGCAACATCTGCGGGAAAAAGGGTCCTGCACAAGCGACGAGCGACATGGAGCTGTACAATAGAACAGCTCCATTGAAAATCATTGGACGGAGAATTCTCGTGATATTGCGCTGAAAATATGCGCGACATCACGGCGGAAATCACGCGATTAAACGCCCAGGGTGAAGGGGCACTTAAGTGCAAAAGAAATATAGTGGCTCTTGTTTCTAACACAGTGACTGAAAATGAAACCCTTAGATGCCTGTCTGCTTAGTACTTTAGTTTTTCAACCAGGCATTGCTATGGTACCCCAGTCCACTCCAGTCCCTTTTAATGGTAATTAGCTGATCCTGGAATGTGTCTACTTGTGATTCTGGTAGTAGAAATATGTCACCAGCACACCGGACCAATTATTCAAGCAAAAAACACCCATTTCTTGACGTGTGCTGTCTCTTAATTGCAAGCGCTTTTGGGGCCACCCAGGGTCCCCTTCATCAGGCTCAGAAATTACCTGATCTCTGAGCCTGATAAAGGGACCTTGCATGGCCCTGAAAGCGCTTGCAATTCAGAGACAGCACATGACAATAGATTGACTTTTTTGCTTGAAAAATTGGTCTGGTGTGCTGGTGACATATTTCAACTATCAGTTTGTTAGTGGCGCCGTCTGCAGTCATTCCAAGCACCCATCTTTTACCTATGTGGGAGTTCCAGTAAGGAGTACAGCAAGAATCTTTTATATTACTTGTGATTCTAGAACACATACTGAAGGCTTCTTGCTGCCTCTATTATACAGAAAGTCTGATGTAAAAAAAAATGGCAGTACTAAGAGGTTTCTCAGCCCGCAATCAAATTTAAACCTGGCCTGAAATTCGAATGTGAGTAGTTAAGCAGAGGGGAGGTTACATAGCACAAACCCTGTGATTCGCTACACAGAAGATTACAAAAATTAAAGTACACTGAGTAATACTGATTTATACAACTCCAGGATTTATAGAACGGAGTTAGAAACTCACTAAATGCTGGAATTGCTCTTTAAGGCATGCCATAGGAATGCAGTGACTGTAACACATGAGTATCCTGGTTAAAATTAACCTGGTAAAAAGTTATCATGAACACTGCTCTAGGTCTTTTAGAACCCTAAGAATGCCTTTGTGGTGATAAAAAGTGTAGATAATCTGGTGCCACACTTCAGGTTATTTGTCCAGTATGTAATGTCAACTGCACACTGGACCTTCCAACAGTATGGTCATTCATACTTTAGTGATCAGAACCCATTTGTCTGTGGCAGTTCCGTATATGTTGAACATCAGAAGGACAAACAAAATTGCTGATCATTAACTGTGGACAAAGTGTAGCTCTGCATGAATTATATATACACACACAAGAATACAGGTGAAACTCGAATAATTAGAATATCGTGCAAAAGTTCATTTATTTCACTAATGCAACTTCAAAGGGTGAAACTAATATATGAGATAGACTCATTACATGCAAAGCAAGATAGTTCAAGCCGTGATTTGTCATAATTGTGATGATTATGGCTTACAGCTCATGAAAACCCCAAATCCACAATCTCAGAAAATTAGAATATTGTGAAAAGGTGCAATATTCTAGGCTCAAAGTGTCCCACTCTAATCAGCTAATTAAGCCATAACACCTGCAAAGGGTTCCTGAGCCTTTAAATGGTCTCTCAGTCTGGTTCAGTAGGAATCACAATCATGGGAAAGACTGCTGACCTGACAGTTGTGCAGAAAACCATCATTGACACCCTCCATAAAAGGAGGGAAAGCCTCAAAAGATCATTGTTCCTTGTTTTATTGATTGCATGTAATATTCTAATTGTGGATTTGGGGTTTTCATGAGCTGTAAACCATAATCATCACAATTATGACAAATCACGGCTTGAACTATCTTGCTTTGCATGTAATGAGTCTCTCATATATTAGTTTCACCTTTTAAGTTGCATTAGTGAAATAAATTAACTTTTGCACGATATTCTAATTATTCAAGTTTCACCTGTAGATGACCAATGCTATGACCTGAATGTCTTGTTTATACATGTAAAACCTTATGTATATACTGTACAGTCCTGACACTGAGTGACTTGTACAGTGGCCTTACGATAATATACAACATTAAACTAATAAGAAAAGGGGCATACACATCACACTGTTAAGATGCTTTGAAAATAAAAGAACATAAGCCTCCCGTTGCCATTTCCAGTCCATTAAGCTTTTCTAAATGCATAAGTAATATGTGCCAAATGGACTACAGAATGCAAATAGAAATTTACTCTGGTAAGCGAAGGAGATACCAACAGAGAAAGTAATGATGTAAATTTAGGAGTAAACACTGTTCCTAACAGCTGAATACAATTTATGTAGACACATTGCTAACTGGAAATTATGGTTTACAGTAGGCTCTACAGGACACAACACACTACAATTCTGGTATCCAAGTAACAAGCCATATTGTGCAGTTGACCAATATTCAAGGAACCTTGAGACATTCCCTTTTAGCCCTTGTTTCATATTTTTAGTAAGTAAATTAAAACTACACAAAAATGTTTTAGTTTTTAGGGGACAACCATTTTAGTCCTATACAGAAAAGTAAGACGCCATTACAATCTACTGTAAAAAGGTCTGACTTTCTGTCGCACCCTTTCACTGCCCCTGAATAGTGACTGCATCCTACCAGATACAATCACTGGTAGGGTATTCAGGAAGTAGTAGGTTCTGAGGCTGCTGAATACATTAGCTGGAAGTGTAGAGTCCTCCATCCATGCTGTTTAGCAGGGATGGGGAAATCAACTGATCTTCTCTCAATCAGCCAGCAGTCATGTATGATTACCTTAACCCTAGAAATTATATCAGTGATAATACTATCATGCTGAAAATGACGTGTCAGAACGTATCTCAATTGCAACGCACCTGTGTGAAAGCTTTACATTCTTTTAGAATGTGTAAATTCATATCCTGGATTCAATTATGTCATATATAGACAGGTATTATTGCTATAACCTTTTTGGAAAATACCATTTTCAATTTTGTTAACAAAAGAGATGTCCAACAACCAGTCAGTTTGCGCTATGTTTCATACTTACTGGCCCTCAAACCATCACTTCAAAGTTAAATCAATGTATAGTACCCTAAAAACATCTATAAGTCAGTCCTTTTCCCTGACCTTCAAGGCAAGACATCTTTGGTAATACTGGGCCAAACAGAACTGTGGTGTATCACTGGACAAATAGCTGTCATTCAATTGTCCAGTTCAATACAAGGTACAGTTAAAATGTTCTCGGCAGTGGTCATAGGTACATGAGGACAGTAGCATCAGGACATAAGATCAAATTCCTGATAGAAGGAAAGTATTGTTAATTTTAGCTTGATTTCCAGTGGCAAAATGTTGTGACAATAGAGCTGTCATCAATGCTGACTCAACAAACATTTGATAGAACTGGGTAGAACTATTCCAAATTTTCTGTCATGTGTCTTCCCATTTCCCATAGGTTGACTATTCCATAAATAGTTCATACATTCCTCTCAACTCTTCAAACAATTTTGTGATAGGACATGCAGGCATTAGGCCAATAGTTTGCTTTTTGAAATCTAGTGACATAAAGATATTAGGATGATAATCATAACAAACATTATTCTGATGCCCATGTGTTGTCATTTATGTGTTTTCAATTGTATAAGCCACTAATATGCTTAAGTTTGACAAAATGAGATGCAAGATGTGAAAGGTCAATTCCTAAATTTTATAACAACCTATAAAGTTTCATTGTTTACCATTAAGCTAATCTACTACTTGCAGTACTGTTTTCAGAAGTAAAAATCAATGGAACATGTCCAAATCAATTTGGCACAGCATTAAATATTATGTTCTGTTCACCTCTTTAGCAAGTTGAGAGATTTTTATTTAGATCTATGAACAATTTATTTGAAAAATTAAGTTAGCTGTGAATGTATGGCATATAAATCAATCCTTGTTTACTAATCAGGCTTACCTCATGTTCCTGATCTATTTGGTAGTCTTTCGGCATGCTTGAGAGCATGGGCCAAGTGAGGTTTGAAGCGGTAGTTGGCAAAGAGCTGAATGTTCCATTTTTAAGATTTTCTGTAGATTGAGACTTTGGTCCATGCCAGTCCATAATGCTTTCTAAGAACATAAACATGTCAGTTATTCATGTATATTTAATGCATATTCTAATCACATCATAATATATGTCCACAGTGTGTATATAACACTTAGGGTATCATTACACATTATTATAAGAACTACTTCACAACTAAGGGCTCATTACACCAGTATGTGTTTTTTGAAGGCTTGTGCTAAATGTATTGACGTGAGTTTAGAACTGTGAAGTGTGGTGTGAAGTTCTACTTATCACAGGGTAGCTACCATAACCATCCAAAGGCTAAGTACACAAAACAAGGACAAAACAGTGGATGGAAAACAGTGTGTTTTGGCTGCATAAAGTATATCTATTATGTTTAAAGTTTTTGTTTTTAAAAGCTACGTATCTTAGTGCAGATTATTGAAACAAATGACATTTAATTTTAAACGTAAACTGTAGCCATCATGTGTTTATTGTTGTCTGTGTCCCTGTTGGGGAAAACGCTCCTTACTACCTGTCATGGTGACCGCACCGCAAGTGAGGGAAACATGTTATAATATCTTTAATTGTTCCTCTCCCTGGCCATTAAAAAGGTAGGAAAAGGAAGGAAAGAAAAAAGAAAGGAAAGATTTCCCCCGCAATGTAACCTGAGAAAGACTAAGATTTTCACAGTAAACTAACAATATGTCTGTGGCCACCTATGCATTACATTTACAGTCACCACAGGAAGTAGAATTCTAAAGATGTGTGAAGAGCATAATACCATCTGCTGGTAAACAGTTTGGGCTGTGCAGCATGGGGTGGAGAGTTAGGAATTACAACACATGGAGAAATTAAATAAAAAATGTAAAACAATTACTTTTACACACAAATACACGTGCTTAAATAGTTGCATTGATTCTAATATTAAAATCAGATCAGTCTATAAGATCCCTCGTAAGGGTCACTCTACTTAAAAGTTATATTTGAGTTTGAGTTGTAGCCTGCAATGACTTCTTAAATGTCTTGAATATTCCAACAGAAGGATCTACTTGCCATAATTCCTGATATCTGTCCCTGTTCACATGGGAGTGTTCCTGGCAGCCTATGTGTGTTTCATCACCTCCTGTAGCATTCTCCATAATATAAAATAATTATTAAAAAATAACAGGGAGAGTGGAATTCTTTATAATGGCCACAGTAGGTGGTAGGGATCCAGAAATACCTCATAATGGCCACAGCAGATGTGAGAAGCTGGGGACTCAATGCAGATATTTTACCAATATGATTCCAAAGAAATACCCGGCAGATGGTTTAGTTCCTAAAGTTCTAATTTTGGGTGGACAAACCTCTAATTAATTTGTTTTTATGTAAAGCCAACATCTGCTAGCTGAAAGTCACACTGTGGCTTTTGAATTTTGGTCTTATAATGGATAACTAGGGGGAATAATACTTATAACAGGATTGTGTTCCCCCATCCTGCCAACATATTTGCTGCCACGCTGACAAGACTGTTTACATGGCAGGGAAAGGTCCAGTAGGTCACTTCTACCATCATTTTGACGCAATATGCTTCATGAAAAATCTGCTAGAAGGCACAGGTAAGCATCCAATGACAGCAGGTTGGCGAAGCCAACCCACTGAGCTCCAATGAAATATGAGATAGTGTCAATCCCTCCCACAGTACCCAAAGTACAAGGTATCTTGGGAGGGAAAAGGGAGTGGCTACTAACAGTCAATACAGGTCAACAGTATCTACTTTCCAAGAATAAAGCAGACCACCCAGGTGGGCAAAGCCTGCAAACAGTGTAGGATAAAAGTAGTAGACAAATTGGCCATATTTATATGTTTTGTTTAACCCCTTCGTGACTGACGACGTATAAATTTGTCACTAAATTTTGGGGTTTAATAAGGAGTTGCGCTAATATTGCGCAACATAAAAATTTTCAACTACCACCATTTTATTCTATAGGGTCTTGGCATTCAGAAAATATATAATGTTGGGGGGTTTTACGTCATTTTCAGGCCTAAAATGTGGAATATAACATGGGTGCAAAAAATGAAAAAAAGGGCCTCAGTCATGAAGGGGTTAAACACAGGTGTGCACCTCACATTTTAGTCGGGGGCTTTATTTCTTTTTAACCCCTGATGCCACTGTAGTGGTGAAACATGTAGGGTTTTTTTCCCCTTAGGTTTTTGTCACACTTTTAAGGATTAGTGCTTAGCTAACATTAATTGATATTCATTGGTATAGAGAGGGTCAGTGAAAAAGGACACCTATAGGGTCCGCCCACAACTTTCCATCCCTCCCTTTAATTGAGATATCTGGACAGAGAGTAAATAACAAATGTCAGCAATGGGAAAAGTTGGACTAAGGAAGTAAAAGCACGAGCTAACCTCTTATCCCTCACTATAGTCTGTATAAAAAATAAAGACAAAAAGCTATAACAGGAGCAAAAGTATGAGGTTGTTGGTATAGTAATTTTAGTTTTTATAGGCTTAAATAAAGGTTACATTTCTCTGTTGGGGTCTAATGTGTAAGCTGCACATCTTTTCTCTTTTAGCAATTAATTAATTTTACTTAAACTTTTCAAGACAAATGAATGATATTCTTATAAGGAATAAACATATGTACTCCCTAATAACATATATAAAAAAAGTATTAAACAGTGATGGCCTAATTCTGTAAACCCCACCTGTCATCACAGTTTTGTTGTTCTGCCCAGCTTGATATACACTCTGCTGTAGTAAGTGAAGACACTCGCCAAGGCAGCCAAGGGTGGCAGCTGAGGTAGCTTTCAGGAGGAGTAAGTCCTGATCCAAGGCAGATAGCGGGCCAGTGCCTGAAAGGGATTCAATGGCATTTACCAGATTTTTCTGTTGTCCCTCCACCTCAGCCATGACCTGAAAGGGGAAAAAGGAAAACAAGTAAGCAAGGTTATTTTTAATGTCCGATATTTTTAAATATCCATAATCCCGAGCAATAACGAAGGAATCATGTAATACTCTTTAAACCTCATGCACATGCATATGAATTTTTGCAGGATCCTGCTGTCCAAAAGCTGGCAGCAAGCATAGTCCATCTGAACTCATACTGACATACACGTGCTTCTGTCCGTATCAGCTGAATTGCGTAGTGGCAGCTTGTACAGACTTACACTTTGTTATTAACACATCTTCCCCCAGATCTTCCCTCTTCTCTCTCTATGACTAAGCTCATCATTGGGTGAAACATGTCAGCGTGAGTAGGATCCATAGCGGAATGATGTGTACCTGTTTGCTACAATAACATTTTTCAGCGAAGCTTGCAATATGGGACCAGACTTTTTTGGGAGTAACATCTTCCCCTAGCCCTGAGATACTCAAATACATAATTCATTAGGAAATGGCATAGGTACAGAATGACCTTGGTCTTAATTCTGTACTGGATCACTAAAGACCTAGGTCATTCTGCATCTGTGCTGTCTCTGCTGCGCAGATGCAGAATGACCTTGACCTTTAGGCTGGGTTCACACCTAGACGTATCGAATATGCGTGTTTGTCGCGCGTTTCACCGTGATTCGCTGTAAAAAAATGCGCGACAAACGCGCGTTTCCGGGGGCTAACTGGCTGTATCCCAATGGATACACGCGGCAAATACGCCCCAAAGAAGCTCCTGTACTTCTTTGGGTGTAGGGCGTTTTGCAGCGCGTTCCTACGCGCTGTAAAACGCACAGGTGGGAACCATGCCCATAGGCAATCATTGGTTTTCACATGTTGAGCGTTTTACAGAACGCGTTGTAAAACGCCCAGGTGTGAACCAGGCCTTAGTCATTCTTACCTGTGGCACTTTCTACATATTGTTTATGTTTACATCTCCCACTAGCCCTGAATATACAGAGGCATTGGGAGCAGTACATATGGACAGAAATGTTTACATGCATACTGCAAAAATTACAGTCAAAATCGGTCTGTCGGCACAGATTTTTCTTCATTTGGCTTCCAAAGCTAAACGCCACAGAGCAAAACACACTTGTGTGAAGGGGCCCAAAGCATAAAATACTTTAGTGTTCAGATCCATATAAAACTGTAAGCGGTATGGATCTGAACGCAGCATGTTAAATGCACTTGTGCCACGATCTGCCACCTACTTCCCATATAATCTCATTGCTCTCAAAGTGGCTTTGTCATACTGAAGAAATAAGGAAAACAGGTATACATTTTTTATGTGCAGGTAGAAACCCTTTACAGCCCATGCCCCCAACTTGCTCCAAAACAAGGCAGAAAATTATGTAGGTGGTCCAGAGTGCAAAGAAACAAATACAAAATGATCCTCCCACAAAACTATTGCAATCACATAATGCAGAACCTCATTTCTTAAAGCCATAGATGTGAATGAAAGGGTAAACATATGGGGAATCCATAATGTTGAGCAGAATGTAACCCGAAGTTGTTTTGTTTTTGGAGCGAAGAAAATGCCATTGTTCTTCCTTTATTTCAGTTTAACTGATATATTTTTTATTCTATATTGTTAATTTAACTAGCATAACCTTCTATTCAGTTATTAAAGCTGAACTTCAGGTAGATACAAAAACTGCAATGCAATACAAGTGTATATTATTTCAAAAGTAATTATATGTACCTAAAAGTATATACATCTGTCTTGTTATCAGCCTGCAGTCAATTTGGAAAATTATTTAAAAAGTTTAGAGAGTTCCTTATCCTTTTTCCTTATTTAGCCTGTTTCTTTTTTTTGTTCTTTTTTCTTTCTTTCCTCTTCTTTCACTTTCCACCTGGCGAGGGACGCAAACTTATTCGCCAGGGTGAAAGGACATGTGCTGTCACAATGTTCCAGTGCCGAATCCCTAATTGGAAGAGGCACCAAATAGCATAATACATCCTAGATGTAAAGTTGATCTTTATTAGTATACAATGTTATGCTATTTTCATAGTTAAAAAGTCTGCCTTTAAAAACACAGGTAAGCTGTAACCAAGTCATTGAGGTTTATTGGCTGGAGTGCTGTGTTGTACATGCTTTTTGATGTAACAAATTATGTTTGTATATGAAAAATGAATTCAATAAAAAACATTGAAAGTAAAAAGTTTAGAGAGTGGAGATTCAAAATGTCACTTTATATTCTTGACTCAAGTGCTGATATCCCTGTTTCAGGATATGTAAAGTTTTAGATAAATAGGTAGGAAATTAAATTTCAGCACTTAAGATCAAACACGTCATGTCATAAAAACATAGCAGTTGATAGGCAAAGCTGATCATAAAAAACATATATGGACAGGCCTTCACTACAGTTAATAAAATAATTTGTTTTCCACAAAAAATATATATGCACAATCACCTGACCACACTAGCTAACATGCCTTAAAATGTATTTAAATTATTTTAAGTTGTGTGCAGAACACTGTAAATCCCAATGGATCGGTATTACACTGGTGGACAATGCTGCCTGGTTTCGCCCTGATGCCTGGCTTAAGGCTATGACTATTTGCTGGCTACAGGGATCACATTCTTTCTTCTTTCAGGGGACAGAGTCCCTCTTATTTATTTAATACTTTACATATTACATTGAAAGAGAGAGGGGCAGAGGGTAAAGCCAAACAGGCTCTGTTACATGCACATGTGCTGACAAGGAATTTGCTTGCAGATGGTAGAGAAGAATGAGCAGAGTTGATGACTTATGACTGTGCTGCTAATACATCATTGTTCAATTAGCAGACTGCATGAAGGGCGATGAAGTATTAAAGTATAGTAAAGTTGAGCTCAAGTCATAAGCATACCCTCCATCCTTTTGTTCCTTCTTCAGGTGTCCACACTGCTGCCTGGGTGAAGTGTACACTTCCAGTGGTGAAGTCCCCTCAGGTTCCAGGTATGACGATTTCAGGAAAAGGCGACCAGTCACCATTGGCACAGACTGCAGCAGGAACACTGGTTGGCATACTCAGAAGCATCGCCACTGAGGGACAATGCGGATGTAGGTAAGTAAAAAAGATGCCGGAGGTATTTACAGTTTTTAAAAAAAGTAAATGGATAAGAGGGGGTTTGAGAGGAGTGAGATTGGGGGTTGAGAAGGGTGGGAGGGAAGGATAGAAGGGGATTTTGCTTTGCCTTGCGATGGGCTTTAATTCTAACAGAGAAAGTGGTGTCACCTGTCTCTGTCAAAGATACATGAATCACAAAAATGGCCAGGGACAGGATTACTAATCCCTTGGCAGATGCATATTTAGCTATCTGCCTGAGGTTCAGCTTTAATACAGCCCTGCAATTAAAAATACACCTCAAAAACTTCTCGATTTAAATGATTCGCATATATAATTTATTAAAGACAAAAGCATGTAACACATTAACAATTCCCTAGGGTTTCCGTATGTGAAACATTTGGAAATATTTTAGAAATTATTCACATTTTTAGCACCAGGGTGCGTGCAAGTTCACTTCAAATAGACAAAAAGGTTAAATAACAATGTAAACAGCAATATTAGATTTAATATAACATATCTGAAACTTTTTTTTAGAGCCAGCTACAAATGGGTTAGTGGAATACAAACAATAAAAGAAAAGTACTGTTACAAAGTCTGTGAGACTGTGTTTAAGCATAGATGGTGGCACTGATGTTTCTCAATGAGATGAAAGCTGCCATTAGTGAATTCATAGAGCAATCTTTCCTCTGTCCTGCACCCATCCACTTTGATCTTATGCCCATGCAAGCAATGCGATGCGGCAGCAGGCATACAGCAGAAGCAAAAGCTGGAAATGACTATGATGAAAGGATGGTTGTGATCTCCGACCTCATTATCACAAAAGCACATTAAGGAAACAGTTTCATCCTATGAGATCCTGCAGAGTGGAACTTAATAATGAGGACACAGTGTTTTCCTGGACAAAGCTGCTCTCATTGTGGACACCAGGCCCGTGACGCTAATGAACACTTCCCGCTACTTTGCACCTCTTTGTGACAAAATAACATTTCATTTGAAGGGCTGTAAGACAAGGATGTGCAGCAACTAAAGCTTAGGTTACCAGCTACATGCTGGGCAAGGCCAGTGTAGCGTTGCTTGATTCCTACATGACAGCTGTGTCACACCTCATACTGAGTTCTGGAGTGATTCTGAGGGACAGGTTAGAACTATAAACAGAAAAAAAAAAACACAAGACGTCCTACACTTAAAAAGTGGATTCAGCGAGCTTTACAGCGTAAACAGCAGGATGTAAAGGCATTAAACTATTATGGAGATATGGACAGGTCACTGATTTTCCAAGCCCTAAGCAAAATGGATGAACTAGTAAGGATCAAGCATCTTAGTAAAAGGATGAGAGAAAAAGAACGAAAGGCATACATTTTTTATGAAATTTTGTAATGGAATATAAGGGGTCTTTCAATATACATGTCATGCTACAAGCTAAATGTAAACAATGGTATCAGTCACTACTGTATCCTGTAATGGTGTGAAGGTCAGCAGGAGGAACTAGTGAGAGCTACACCAGAAGATTGTCACTCTGGGAAGTGTTGGTTTCCCAGGGCACTTTTGGGGGGAAGTGCTTCTCCTGAACTAAGCCGTGAGAAAACAAATTATATATTTTATTCTTTTATAGCTATATCTTGGCTGTGAATGTTCACTATAATGACAAGGTTGCTATAAGGGGAAGCTTTATTCTTTAATAGCTATACATGTAATGTTTTTTTTTAATATACATAGTTCGTACCTCTAGTGTATACTGTATGCAGTGGTTGAACCTCACTGCTTCTTTTTCTCAGTGCAAATCTAACAGTCAGACCTAACTGATTGAAAACAATTCTCTATGAGGGTAATTTATCAAAACTTGAGCAGACAAAATCTGGAGCAGCTGTGCATGGCAACCAATCAGCTTCTCTCTCTCATTTTCAAATCTTAACAGAACAAACTGAAGAGAG